AAGGGAAAAATTAAATAAAGCTTTAAAAAAGCAGGACTTTTGATATTGACACTAGTCATTAAATGCAACTTCCTTCTAATATATAAATTTGTTCTCTAAATTAATAAGCTCTTTTTATAAACATGTATGCTCCTTGAAGCCAAGGCTTCTCCTCCTTGCTTCTGTTCTGCCCCACCCTACTTTGTTTCAGTGTAGTAACTAGCTCCTGCTTGCTGCACTGTGCCAGTTGGACACATCCACCAAAGACAAACAAGGAAAAGGGCAAACATGCAGGTTGGGACTTTTTTTCTGTCCTGTCCTGTTTTCCTCCCCAGCTTTCTTGTTTCTCCTTTGCCTGTATCCCCACACCGATCTCTGCCTTTCCCTTTCTCTATACTCATCAATCTCAGGGCATGTATCCAAGAACTTTAAATGAACTCAACACTATGGCACAACTAATCAGTCAGTCTGAGTGTCACACACACACACACACACACACACACACACACACACACACACACAAACAGGAGGATATTGCTTCACTCTCTAAGAGCTCCTAACTGGTTCAGATTCATTGATGTCAAAACCTTGTAATGTTCACTCATTCCCAAAAAGGACTTTTTTTCTAAAGAAGTCAATCAACTTTGTGGATGACTGTCCACACTACAGAGGAAGACTCCTAGATTTCAAAAGAAATACATCTGATTAGAACAGAATCTCCATTTCACAAAGACAGGTCCCATGGCTTGACAAGGTAGTTAGCATAAGATAGTAATCAAATGAATTAATAATCATAAAGCCATGAAGACAATCTTCTGTGTTTCAGGTTTCCTTTATTTATTATCATGAAATCACTAGGAACACCACAATATATGGAAAAAAATAAACTATCACTTAGCACTTAAGATTTGTAACATTTCCTTTTTCTTTGCTACTTGATTGTTAGGACACTACATAAGTTTCTAAGTCAGGCACCTGAATTCCCCACATGTAGGTAAATCATAGAAGACAATAGATATCAATGATTTCCCCAACCTAATCATTACCTGGTACAAAGGTTCTCCTATAACAAATATGAGATGGAATTTCACCCTCCATGCCTTCTTCTACTAGCCACCTTTATTTAAATTCCTCCAGCCTAACTTTGCCACCTACCTCCAACCAGGTATGGCACACCATCCTATACCCATATAACTCTCACTTGTTCCAAGACACAAAAGTAGATTGTCATTCTCAGCTATGATTCTTGCATTTTCTATCTCTGCCTGATTCAAGTTAATGGTAGTCATCAAAAATGTTCTCTCTTCCTCCCTTCACTTGTTGTAGACCACAGGCTGGCATGGAAAGTATCCCTGAGGTGGGACATAGGTAAGACTAGATATACTCCCTGAAAATTACTGTCCTATGCTCTTACACAAACTGCAACATCAACACAAGGTTCAAAAGGCTATTAGAGTCATAGAAAACATGGACTTGGAGGCTGCCATTGATTCAGTGGTGACAAACCTAAGCAATCTACTGAATGCATCTCAGCTTTTTTTTTTTTTTTTTTTTTTTGTCTTTTTCCTTTTTATTGGTACCGGGGATCGAACTCATGATTGGCTTGCATCTCAGCTTTGATTTGCATTAGTTCCTCAGCAACTTTCCTTGACTGCCACACAGTGTGGCTGTATGAGGTTAGTGAAATAAGGGATGGAAAGCCCATTGTAAAAAATAACACTGTATGCAAAGGAATCAAAGTCACTTTACTCAGCAACACTTCTGGGGAAAAAGTGTTCTAGGGAAAAAGACTGGCTATTAGACTGCCATTGTGTCATTTAAAAGTCACACACTTGAACTAGATATTTAGCCAGGGAATGCCTAAACCCAAGAAAGCAAATGATATATCCAAGATAGAGGAAATATTAGGACTCAAGTTCTTGGTAGGCCCATCCAATTCAAATGCTATTCTTTCCTACTATACCCCCAAAGTATGCAAACTAAGAAATTTTCAGGAAAAAAGCTATATTGTTCTGAAGTTTCCAAAAGGAAACACAGGTACAGTAGTAAAAAGAGAGTTAATGAAATATTCCAGAATGTGCCTTGCAAGGAAAACAAAAACCACAGAGACAACCATTGCATTGAACCAATAGTTTACTTCTTTAGATGTTAGAGTTAACCCACTTATAGCTGGCTTTACTTGTAAGGAGCCAGGTTATTTGGGAAGAACTGGAGAACCAATATTACCCCTTGCATATTCAAATGCATGTAGTAATGAGCCTTCATATAATAGGTGTCAATTGTATACTCCATAGAAAGGGAATCATTAAAAGGCATCCTGCATCTCAACACAGGAGGCACTTCCTCAACAGCTTGGCCAAAGAAACCTCATCTGTCTTCAAATAATCCCCCAGCCAAACTACAAATTGCTGGCTGCACCAGACTAACACCCCCTGTCATGGTCATGCAGACTCACAAAATACCCTGGACCACAGCAGCAAGCACCTTCTGGGCACCTTTCAGGTTTGGTGAGCCCTTAGCAGAAGTGAAAATGAACCTCTCTGAGGCAAGTTGTCTAAGCCCACTGTGCAAATTGGACAGGGAGTGTGAGGAGGACAAGAAGGGGAGGAACTACCAGACTATGGAGGGCTGCATATCCCATTGTGACCTTGGTGGAAAGAGAACCGAGGGGAGGAGTTTGATTAACAAATTCAGCTATGATCAGAACAAATTCCTGAAGGGCTTGTTTGAAAGTTTCCCTTAAAAAAATTATTGCTCCAGAGAATGGCGGAGGGAGAGTGCCTTGGTGGTGGTGGTGGTGGGGGGGGTGTTAGTAGATGACACAGGCATCTCTGGCTGGCCAGAAATATAAAGCAAGTGTGAGGGAAGAGGTGCTAGATAAAGGTCTGGGCTGGTGTAAGAAGGCTAAAGAACTCAGAGTCCTTCTCTTTCTCAAAATGTTGCCTCAATATTCCTCAGGTCACTGAAACTGCTAGGTACCCAACCATGCAATACTCCAGGTTTGCCCCAAGGCCTGAAAGGACCATTTTATGGCTTGGGCTAGATGTCTCCCCAAAGCCTCATGGGGACATAGGTGGGACTTCTGTGAGATAGCTGGTTATACAATTACTGAATCTCATTCTTGGGACAAAATACCCAACTCCCAATGGTAAAGGAGGAAAGGTGTATTTAGCTCCAGGTTTATGGTGGTTTCAGGATAATCAACTGGCTCCAAGGCAGGGTAGAATGGCAGAGGGGTAGCAGTTTAAGGTGGCAAAAGACAGCAAAAGCAAGAAGAACAAAAGCAATCCTGTTTTCCTCCCTTGTACTGTAAGCAGGTTACACACCCACACTATCTCTTTGCTGTTCTCCTTGTACAAACTCAGGATATTTACAAAGGAGGACAGTTTGAGTCACTTACTTTTTAAACTTCTCAATCATCAAATTGAAATATGTATCAACCATTGTAGGGTGTGTGTTGCTGGCATTAAGGTGCTATTACTAAATCAGTCCACTGATTGGTTTAACATAGTTCTGGGTACAGTAATGGGAAGTCCCACCCTGAGTGTAGGCAGCGCTACCCAAAAGTTGGATAGCCCAGAAGGCATAAAAGGAAGAAGAGGCACCTTCACTACTTTGCTGCCTTCTGCCTGCTGTGCTTGTCATGGACTGTTTCTCCTCTGCCTGGCCACTTGCCTTGAAACCAGTGAAAAATGAACTAAAACCTATGCAAACTGTGAGCCAAAATAATCTATCCTCCTATAATTTTGGGTGTCAGGTGTTTTGTCTCTACAAAGAGAAAAGTAACCAAGAGAAACCACATAAGTTACCAGTTAATCAGCAGCTACAATGCATTGTAGAAACAGCGCTATTACGAGTTGGGTATAGGTGAGTGTGCATGGCGATGGGAAGGGGGGTCATAACTGCTGAGAGGAGGAACATTAGAAAGCCCAAAAGAGGGCAGAGTGGCATTTGCTCTGTGCTGAGAAAGCACATCCTGACCATGCATGCACATCTCAAGTGCAGTTTGAGGGGCTTGGTTGGGGGCGGGGGGGGGGCGCTATTTGAGTATTTAACAGAAACAAGACCGACAGTGGGATCAAGTTCCTCACGTTCCTTCCCTGGGCAATCTGGAGCCTCAAGGTGAGTCCTTCTACAAGCCACTCTGCAAGTCACTCTTGCCAGGAGCAGCCCCAGCTGTCCCTGCCCTCAGCTCTCCCCAGAGCTGCTCTAGCTTTGGGATTGCAGAGCACTCCAGAGCCACTCTCCCCTGTCCTCCTTTGCATCTTGGCTTCCAGCAGTTCACAGCCTCCTCAACAAACAAACCCTGGCGGCGGCAGAGGCAGCTCCTCCAGCACAGTCGTGCTGCATGGCGCACAAGTTTCCTCCACACTTCTCAATGAGCAGGAAATCTCGCTGGCCCGGTGTTGAGGCGGCGGCAATGGGAGCAGGCAAAGGCCAAGTAAACCGGCTGCAGCCACAGCCCAAGAGCTGAATGGATGTGCGCGCCTCTGGCTGTGGGAAATGAGGCTGAGGAGCCAGCCACCAACGCCCTCGCCTCTGTTCCCACACCGGACCCCAACCCTGCAACCTGCCCTGGCAGGACAGCCAGAGAGCTCCCAGAGAGGAACACAGCTGCACCGCCTACGTCCCCAGCCCCTCACTGTCCGCCCGGGCGCAGCGGCCTGGAGGAGAAGCCCCCGACTGCCGCCACTCCCTCCAGTCCTCCCAACAGAGGGGAGTAGTCTCCCCGAGGTGGGGGAACAAGGGCGGCCCCAGAGTCCTCGGGAGTGCCTGCTCTCCAGGCTCCAGCCGGGCCAGCCGTGCTCTTGTCTGCGCTCCAGCAGCCCTCGGGGGCTGTCTGCAGCTGGACTGGTGCAAGAGCCCTCCGCGCTGCTCCTGTCCCTCCGGGGGCTTTCAGCCCCAGCCGGAGCCGAGTTTCACCGCTGCTCTGAGGGGTGCGAGGCCCCCGTCCTGCCTCAGCCTGCGCACAGCTCGTCCATTCAAAGTCAGGCGCCCTGAGCAGAGCCTCCAGGTCTTACCTTAGACACTGTGAGCGGCTCGCAGTGTTCCAGACCTCCCTTAAGGGTGAAGCCCCAGGGCGCCCCCCCTTGCAGCTGCACCGGGACGTACTGGAAGGACCCAGGCCGGTTCTCCATCCTGGGCTCCGCTCTGGCGCCGCCGGGCTCCTTCTCTGCGGGGGCTACGTTGCCTCCGCCCCCAGCGGCTCCACCACCATCGCCCTCCAGTGCTACGCCTCCCGCACCGCCCTGCTCCGCCTCCTCTCCGGACTGGAGACGCTCGGGCAGCGAGCGAGCCCAAGGAGGAAATGACACGGTGCTGGAGAAGGGGGGAGAGACGGGGGAAGGAGAAGGGGAAAAAAGAAAGAAAGAGAAAGAAAGAAAAAGGAGCAGAGGCGGAGGGACGGCGCTTTATGGACTAGAAATGAGAGCGATGGGGAGGGGCAGGCACTGGGACCGCGCCTAAGGGATCTCTGAGGAGTAGGAGCAGGGCAAGGCCTCACATCAATTGTTACATTGTTTCATTCAAGCAGGCCCCCTCTTTGGTCCTCCTCTCTGCTGCAGAGTTCCCCGCCCCTGCAGCCTGCAGAGGCACGGGGAGGTTAAAGTCGTTAGTGTGGATGGCCCGCGTGGCTGAGTGGGCTGAAACGCTGGTTTCCTGATTAGCCTGTTGATGTTTCTCTGACTGCCTTTTTCTTCCCAGGTCCCAAGAACCCACTCCCGGGAGGGTTGCAAGGCTGCTAATTTGTAGACTTGGTGTGCCTGGAGGGGTGAAAGTCAAGGAAGCAGGACCGGGAACACAGAGGGGCTGTGTGTGTAGGCCTCTGTGTATAAGCACTAGGTGTGTGGGGTCATTTAGGAAATGTTGCCCCGGAGCATAGAGTAAATCAAGGAGCACTTGGACGATGCCCCCTGCACAGGCAGGGCTACACCCTGGCTCAAGCTGGAGTCTGTGGGGAGCACTGTGCTTGTGTGTGTGTGTTCCAGTCATCTGGAGCTCTTGCCCTTGCCCCACTGAGATGATCACGCCAGGGATCCGCAAACTTTGGGACTAGCAAGCAACATTGTCTCTCAAAGAACCGACAGGAAAGAGCTTTTGTCCACCGATAGGCTTTTCAGTTAATAATGCTGTGCCTTTGTGAAGAATCAGCTTTTAGACAGGGTCCGAAGCATGGCTGTTCAGGCTTGAGCCTCCTGTTACTCAGATGGGCTTTAAAAACAGCCAACCATATAACCAAAGAACAGTTCTGACAAGAGAATTTGTGACTCAAGGGTGGTGAGTTTTAAAGGTCTCACAGGGGAAGGGAAAGTGTGGACAACTCAGTTGTGACTCAACGGGACTTTCTCCCTCTGACTTGCTCAGTGTCTGCCTTCTTGGTTCTTGTGCAGCTTCTTCCTCAGGTCAGCGAACACACCACGGCGCCTTCCTTCCAGAGCCAGCTCTCTGCAACCAGGGTTTCCACTCCTGCTTCCAGTTCCCCACCTCTTGCTGCCTGTTCTACACTTTGCCACTGGCCCAGCTCACCCCATCAACCTTTTCTCCTCAGCCCCCCGGGCTGCTACATAACATGAGCCTGGCTTCACTTTTCTTTAATAAAATGGTAGCGCAGAGGTTTGTGGCTGCCTTCCTTCGGTTTTTCTTGCAGTCCTTAGAGAAGATTCACATGGGAAACTGCCCTCCCTCCATCTTTTTCATGTTTAGACAGAAAAGATCACGTTGATTATGCTTGTTGTTTTGCTTTTTCCTTACTAGAAAGCAGAAAGTTTGAGAAAATGGCAGCACAAGTTGTTGACTCTTTGTTATTGTTGTTGTTGTTTACTTTCAATGCTGAGGATACACCCCAATGCCTGATGCATGTGCTCTACCACTGAACAACACTCCATCCGCTACCCCTTCCTTGTGGCTGCCTTTAATTTTCATTGTTTTGGTCTAGGAATTGAAACAGTCTTTTGATTCTTAACCGTGTGTCAACCTATGAGATATTCTTTTGCTCTGCCTCATTTTGAAATTAAGCTTTATTTTCCCCCCTGGGAAATGATCTCTGATTGAGATTCAAAAGGACTCGGCTTATTGAAATCTGTAAAGTTCAGCTTATAGGATATGTAGTTACCTGTCAAGAACTCCTAGAATTATGTGCCTAGACTAGAGGAAGGAGATTTTTAATCAAGAACACAGATCTGAGCCCTGGTGTTGTCAGCAACTAGTTTGGTGACCTTGGTCAAATAACTGAGTTAGCTTGGAGATGTCCTTTCTTCTGTAGACTTTGGCTAATAAGCTCTGGCTTTCCTATCTCCACAGCCTGTTGAGAGTCTGAGACGTACTAATAAATACAAAAACACTTTGATAATTAAAAAGTAAAAATCCTCAAAAACTTACTATGAAGTCAGGCACTGAACTATCTTTTCTTTTCTTATTATTTTCAGTGCCAGGAATGGAACCCAGGGCCTCAGATAAGATAGGCAAGCACTCTACCACTGAGCTTCATACCTTTTGAACTAGGCCTTTAACATATCATTTTAAGCCTCTTTCCCTAGTATTCTTGTATGATCCTCAGTTTGGGTTTTTTTTTTTTTTGTTTGTTTGTTTGTCTTTGCACAAGAAGATAAATTACCTAACCCCTTAGGCAAATAAAAGTAGCACGTATTTTGTAAATAGGATGACAAGATTGTCTGGCTTTTCTACTGATGAATATCATTGTTGCTAGAAAGACCTCAACTTTGTTGGAAGGATAACTAGATGAAGCATGGTGGAGTAGTGGAAAGAGAGCTTGGGATACCTAAATTCTAAGCTGATTCTGCCATTAATTAACTGTGCAATGTTAAGCCTGCCATTCTCCCTTTCTGTAAACTGAAGTAGTTGAGCTACTTGATTCCTTATGTTTCTGTATAGTTTGCAAATCATGTGATGTTGGGAGCCGTGGCCGAGCCCGGTCGCCTTACTTGGCGGACGTGAGGCCTGTAGGAAAGAGCAAAGCCTGAGCTAGATTACCCCTCCCATCGAGTGTGCTAAGATGGCGCTTATCTCCTGCTTCCTGCTTGGTAAACAACCCGCCCTGTAAGATCTCCTGCTTCCTGCTTGGTAAACAACCCGCCCTGTAAGATCTCCTGCTTCACAACCCGCCCTGTAAGATAGTCTGCCTAGCAACAACTGATGTTAGCCAATCAGCCCGCATCGCGCGCTTTGAACTGATTGGCCACTGTAACCCTATAAAAGTGAGTGCCTCTCCCGCCACGAAAAAAGAAGCAGAAGAAGCAAAAAGAAGCAGAAGTAGCACGCAAGGAGCCGCGGAGAGCGGACCGGTAGAGGCTTCGGGACAGACTGTAGGAAGAAGCACGCAAGGAGCCGCGGAGAGCGGACCAGTAGAGGCTTCGGGACAGACTGTAGGGAGAAGCACGCAAGGAGCCGCGGGGAGCGGACCAACAGTGGCTTCGGCCGGGAGGATTCCCGGGGCAGGCTGTACGGAGAAGGAAAATAAAAGAAAAGGTTGTCCACTGCCAGACTTTGTTGTGTGTCCTTCCTGCCGGCCGGGAGTGACACCGACATCGTGACTACTTTTTGACACGTGCCTCCACTTAATGTATGGATGAACAATAGTTTGATATTGGAAATGAACCAAGTGAGAATCTAGAAATGCAGAATAATTAGGTGCTGGTTTTTTCTCTGTCCATCTGTCTGTCAGTATGTCTCTTTCTCTCTGTGCGTGTGTGTCACTGTGTGTATATGCTGTTACATTTAGAAAGATGATGGACTTAAAGTAAAAGACACATTGCCGTTACTCCCACTGAAAATAGTTCCTCTAGCTTGAAACATACTTACTCATTTTTTATTAGTAGATATTTTCCATACTTGCATTTACAATCATCTTGGGGAATGGGTACATATGTATAATATAACATTCCTTTTTTCAATCCCATTCCCTCCCACCCCCCATCTAAATCCCCTTTCTTCTAGTTTTATTCTTATTGATACTATTATTCTTAATTCTTGTTTATGACAAAATGTTTATACTCATTGAGGTTATTAGGTTCTTGTACATGGCATATCATTATTCTACTTATTTTCTCTTCCCATTCCATTTCCTGGGACTGCAACAAAAAGAAACACATGGGTCAGTGGAACAGAATTGAGGATATAGAAACATCCCCAAATGCATTCAGCTAGTTGATCTTTGATAAGGAGGCCAAAAGTATACATTGAAGGAAAGACGATCTATTCAACAAATGATGCTGTGAAAATTGGATAACTATTTGCAGAAGATTAAAACTTGAGCCACATATCTCCAAGTACTATATTAAAATCAAAATGAATCAAAAATCTAAATATTAAAAAAGAAAACAAGAAGTCATGAAGTACCATGCTCTCCCTGTGAATCAGCGCCATGTTTGGGCCACCAGGGGAACAGCTAAATCCCAGCCTTTTCCTGTGAGTCATCACCACTTGTGGATGGTGAAGGAAGAGAACAAGAAGTCACCAAGAAGCAAGCCCTTCCTGTGAACCAGATCCTTATGCAGGCTGCCAGGGGGACAACCAGACCCCAGCCCCTTCTGGCACACAGCTGGGAAAGAAGAGCCAACCTGCCCCCTGCCCCCATAAGCAATCGGCTTATCTGGAGAAACCTAGGCAATGATGATAGCTACTCAGGTGAAATGCAATTTAATGATTGTCGTGATTGGTGTTTCACTGACTTTGCAGATCTAAGATCAGTGGTCTGATCATCTATTCAGAGGATAATGGTATACACTGTGCCATTTATGGAGGATCTCCTTCTGAAGGTGGTGGCCATTTTAATTCCCTATTTTCATGTTTTGAAGTCCTGTATTATTTTCATTCTTTTTGGGGGTTGTGTTTTATTCTGTTTTGTTTTGTTTGATTTTGTTGTTTGTGGCATGGATATTGTTATAGCCATTTTGGATTTACTCATCTTATTATGAAGTCCTTTATTACATTCATTGTTTTGTTTTTATTGGGTATATTCTGTTTTGTTTTGTTTGATTTTTACTATGTCTGAAGGTATATGCAGCTGTTTGAAAGACAACAAGAAGCATTATGGTACCCATTGTTGATTTTGTATTGTTTTGAAGTCCTGTGTCACTTACACTGGCTTGTTTTGATTTGTTTATTCTGTTTTATTTTGCTTGGTTTTATTCTCTTTAAAATAAAAATTGAAAAACATAAAAACAGAAACATGAAACCTACTGGAAGACAAAATAGATAAAACACTTAAAGACATAAAGTTAGGAAAGAATTTTTAAAAACAGAGCCACGATTGCACAAGAAACAATAAGAATCAACAATTGGAAGTACATCAAATTAGAAAGCTTCTGTATGGTAAAGAAATCAGTAAGCAGATTGAAGTCACCCATCAATCTTGTTAATTTCTGAAGGACTTCTAGAAGTAATTTTTCATATT